GTTATTTTCATTTTAGATATCAAAAGGGTTTTGCGGCTCCCAGTGTTTTGTTTTCGGTGGGAAACAGGTCCAAGTGGCTCTTTGAGTGTTTTGGGTTGCCTACCCCTGGTCTAAACTGTGACTTGTACAATGCCTGCATTCCCCGAGGAGACCCCAACCGACTCCAAGACTGGTACATCCTGGTCGAAGAAGCGGAGATCGATCAGGCCAAAAGACAGCGATGTGGAGGCAGATCTTGGGGGAAGTCGCCAGCGGAGCCAGCCAGTGAACCAACGAAGCAAGCACCAACCATCGAAAGAACAACAGGATGCTTTAAATGCGGAAAGGAGGGACACCGCGCAGCTGAATGCCCTTCACGCACCCCTGTCCAAAAGCCTGACCAAGCCCCGGTGGGGAAGCCCAGAAAGACCCCGATGAAGCCGAAGTAGATGGCTTCATCTACTTGAGTTGAGTTGAGTTGAGTTCCCTACCCCATTCAAGCAAGGGAGGGGAACTTCGACCCCACCAGGACAGCCACCAACCTCGTCAGACGACAACTTGGAGGACGAACCCCTGGTAAGTGGACCCATCGCGCCCCTCACCAGGACAGTAGAACTGTTTAGCCCCGGAATGCCCGAGAGGGTAGCACTCAGAGCACTAATAGACTCTGGCTGCGCCCGTTGCCTCATAAGCCCAACATTAGTGGGGAATTTAGTAATTCCAGTGAGGAGGCTGAAGAAACTGATTTCATTCAGTCAATTAGATGGGTCCATTGCAGAGGGGACACCGGCCACACTGCCCGTCCAACTCACCATAGGGGATCATGTAGAGACTATAACGTTTGTAGTGGCCTCTGGCATGGAATGCCCCCTTATTTGGGGCATGGCCTGGCTGACCAAGTGGAACCCATGGGTGGACTGGAGAAAAGGAGAACTCAGATTCCCAAATGGAGATGCGGTAAAGACCCCAACTCAGCCCAGGAATGGAGGAGACCCCTCTGAAAAGGCAGCGGTAGGGGGGGGGGGAAAGGACTTGCCAGAGATCCCAGAGGAATACAGAGACTTAGCTGAAGTATTCAGCGAAGAAAAATATGAACTGCCCCCCCACCAGCTCATGGACTGCTCCATCAAAATCCACCCAGGGGCCAAGTTACCCAAACCAAAACTATATTACATGAGCCCCCAAGAGCTAGAAGAGATGCAGAAATTCATAGAAAAAAACCTAGCAAGGGGTTTTATCCAACCAGCGAAGCCAAAGACCGCAGCTCCCGTATTATTTCGGGAAAAGAAGGAGGGGACTCTTTGCCTCTGCGTGGACTATAGATCCCTGAATGCAGTGAGCGAGAGCAACCTATACCCCCCTCCCTCTCATGAAAGACATACTAGCACACCTATCGAAAGAAAAAATCTTTTCGAAACTGGACTTAAGAGAAGCATATTACAGAATTAGAATAAAGGAGGGAGACGAGTGGAAGACAGCTTTCAATTTCCCTTTAGGATGTTACCAGTTCAGGGTTCTGCCATTCGGACTTCAAGGGGCTCCTGCAGTGTTCATGCAATTAATAAATGACGTGCTCCGGGAGCACCTATACAAAGGGGTGCTTGTTTACCTGGATGATATCTTAATATTCACGGAGACGATGGAAGAACATGTGAAGCTAGTCAGAGCTGTACTGAAAAAACTCCAGGTAGCTCACCTGTATGCCAAGCTGTCTAAATGTGAGTTCCACAAAGAAAAAAATGACTATTTGGGGTATCGCATCTTCCTGAATGGCATAGAAATGGACCCTGAGAAAGTCCGAGCGGTGTTAGAATGGTCCCCGCCCGGCACAAGAAAGCAATTGCAAAGTTTCCTTGGATTCGCTAACTTTTACTGGCAGTTTATCCCCTTCTTTGCACAGATTGTGCTGACAATTAAACTTACTAAAGACCAAGGGGGAGGGGAAGCCGAAACCAAGCCAACCATTGAAATGGACAGTGGAATGTCAAATCGCATTCAAAAGGTTAAAAATACTATTTTCCGCAGAACCAGTCTTAAGGCACCCTGACACTGAGAAACCTTTTGTGATTCAGGCTGATGCTAGCGATGTAGCAGTGGGGGCAGTACTATTACAGGAAAACGATGAGGGAAAATTGCAGCCTTGCGCATATACTTGATGTAACTCACAGAAACCGAGCAAAGGTGGGCAGTTTGGGAGAAAGAGGCTTATACCATTCGACGGGCTCTGCTCACCTGGCGGCACTTCCTGGAGGGGGAAAAAATTCCTTTCCAGGTGTCGACCGACCACAAGAACCTGGAAGCACTGAAAACACCCAGGAAACTGACCCCTAAACAAACGAGATGGTCACAGCATTTCCACCGGTTTAATTTTACTTTAAAGCATTTGCCGGGAGGAAATAACTTCTTAGCAGATGCATTGTCCAGGTTACCCCAGTACAATAGTAACAGAACAGACATAACAGACCCGCTCATGCCATCAAAGCAACTAGCAGCACAAGTCACTACCCAAGCACAAGCCAAACTTCAAAAGCCCTTGGCGAGCCAAGCAGGGACTGAATTCAAAAAAGCATTAGAAACCGACGAATGGTTCCTGAGCCACAAGAACCTATGCACCATGACCAATGGTCTACCATGGGTGGGAGGAAAGCTGTACATCCCAAAAAGCCAGAGATTAACATTCATGCAGTTATGCCATGACTCAAAATCAGCTGGACATTTCGGATTTGTAAAAACTTTACATCTAGTGAAAAGGCAGTTTTGGTGGCCGTCAATAAAAAAGGACATTGAAAGTTATGTGGCCAGCTGTCCAGTCTGCGCTGCAGCAAAAAGAATGCAAGGAAAGAACCCAGGCTTATTGCAGCCAGTAGCGACCCCATCAGCACCTTGGAAGGAAATCTCTATGGACTTTATTGTGGAGTTACCGGAAAGTGGGGGGAATACAGTCATCTGGGTCGTAACAGACTTGTTCTCTAAACAAGTACACTTTATTCCATGCCAAAAAATCCCCAATGCAAAAACACTTGCAAAGCTTTTTGTCCAACACATCTATCGACTTCATGGAGCCCCACAATGAATCATATCAGACAGAGGGGTACAGTTCACATCAGAATTTTGGAAAGCATTCTTAAAACTGTTGGGGACCACCCAGGGGCTGTCATCTAGTCATCATCCACAGATGAATAGTGGGACGCAACAGTCGAACTCAGTACTGGAGCAGTACTTAAGATGTTTTATTAATTACCAGCAGGACAACTGGACCGACCTGCTTCCGTTCGCAGAGGTTGCCTATAACAATGCAGTCCATTCCAGCACGGGTTTCACTCCTTTCCAAGTTGCAAACGGGCAAAGTTTTAACCCGATGCCTGAACTCCCAGCCTGCGATCCCACCATTCCTTCCCTCAAGGAATGGATGGCACAATTACAAAATACCTGGCTGGTTCTGAGGAAGGCATTAGACGAAGCTAGGGAAGCTTATAAGATCTAGGCAGATAAAAAACGAAGCGAACCAAAACCATTTGCAGTAGGAGAGAAAGTTTACCTGTCAACAAAATACTTAAAATCCTTACAACCCTCAAAAAAGGTAGGACCGAAGTTTGTGGGACCATTTCCTATTAAAAGGATAATTAATCCTGTCACAGTAGAATTAGAACTCCCAAAGACACTCAGACAGGTTCACCCAATTTTCCAGTGCAGTCTTTTAAAACGTGAACTGCAGTCACCCTTAAGGCCATCTGAAACTCCTCCCCCTCCTCCAATCATGGTAGAAGGTGAACAACATTTTGAAATTAAAGAAATCCTAGACTCCAGAAAACATCATGGCTCTACCCAATACCTGGTAGCATGGAAACATCTACCACCTTCCCAAAATGAGTGGGTCCAGAAACGTCACGTTAGGGCTCCCAGACTCCTTACTAAGTTTCATACTGCTTACCCCAATAAACCAGACTAATCCTTGTCTCCCTTTTTCCTCTTTTGTTTTCTACATGTGGAGCTTTCTTTTTTTTAAGGGGGGCAGGATGTCAGAACCCATTCTTATATGGGGGGGGGAAAGAATCTATTTCATTTATCTATTTCATTTCTTTCTATTTCCTACTGAGGGTTCTGCCATTCACCTGAGGGGGAGGGGGAAGGCTCTACGGGCTGTTTCTCTGCTTTGCTACAATGTATCCTTGCCGCTATTCCTGCATACTTGCTCTTTGAACTGTCTCTCCCTTGATGTTACCTTGGGGTGAGAAAGGAATGTGCCTCCGGCCATCTGGCTTATATCTCTCTGCGGAAGGGAAGGTGCAAAGACCTAACAACACCATCGCAAGCCTGGGAACAGACTCCATTATCAGCTCCTTTCCCACAGTGGACCTAACACCTGAGGATTGGCCCATTCAAACTGGGGTGGGGCTTGCTTGGGACTCTTTTAACCTATTGATCTGAGCGGGAAACCCTTATATCCTGCCTATTATGCCTGCTATCAGCTTCTCCTAATAAAAGTTCCTTTTGGAAGAAACTGCTCCAAGAGTCCTGCTTTCTTAGGATAAGGTTTTGAAGTAGGCCCTGACACATACAGTGTAGTCCAGCACTAAATTATATAAATTAAATATAAAATTAATAAGCAGTTCCAGTACAAAAAAGGGAACAAAATATCAAGGATTTTGACAGAATCCCCTCCCCCAACTAGAAAGTAATCTTGTATTTCAATTTTGAATTATGGCCAATAAACTTTTATTAAACTACCAATCATAAAATATAAAAGTTATAAACACAGATCAATCACTGCCACTGATAATAAGCAGGAGACCAGGAGAATGCAGTTTGGAATAAAATTAATTTGTATCCCTTTAAAAGATTTTACCAGTGAGAGAGTTAAATGCCATTAAGACAACCTTCTAACTAGTATCCATTTGCTACATCTTAGCTGACAAGGAAACATAAAGGCACAATGAAATTCTGAAACCAACTCAGCCCCAAGCTTTTTAGAGGTAAAAAACAAACCTTTAATTGAGCTCAGCAACAAAAATGGTAACTAGTACAGTTGGTAAAAGGATTGATACAGAAAATATTCTGTGGGCTTGCATGCTTATCCTTCATTACAAGGAAGAGATTTATTTCTTTCCCTTTTTAGGACTACTTAAGATAGCTCTTCATTTTTATCAATTATAGAAAGGCCTAATAATAATTTTAAGCAAGCACAATAGTTGTGGAATGTATTATCAGGGATACACATAGAATGTGAAGAAGCATTACTATTAAGGCTGCACCTGAATACATGAGACTAACCTGCATTTCTCCAAATCTGTAGTATGACATTTTATACATAAGACAGTTCAGCAAGATTGGAGATCCTACTTTATCAACTCTAAACTCTCCTTGTGGAGTAAAGTAGTCACTTTCCTTTAACAAAAAGAAGGAAATGAAATTATTATACAAGTCAGTTCAGGGAAACAAGATGAAACAGAATAAAAATCCAATAATCAGCAATTTCTGTAAACAACTAATAGGTAAAAAACCCCAGTGACTGAGGGTAGTTCTAATTTTTTTCATGCTATAAGACAGGGGTGTCAAACTGCCGGTCCACGAGCCGGACCTGTCACACGGAAGCTGCGCCCACCCCATTGCCGGCAATGGCAAAACTGTCCCGATATGTTGCGCGATGTCATGTGATGTCACGAGTTTGACATGTCTGCTATAAGACTAAGTTACAATACATTTTCAGTTCATCTTCACTTTTGGCTGTATTGGATATATTGTATATCAGGTGTGACAAATACACAAGTAACTAATATTTATTTTATTTATATTCTGCCTATATTACTTTTGTTTACAAATAACTCAAGGCAGTGAACTTATCTTATAATATCTTTTACAGAAAGATGAAAGTATTATACACAAAGTCTTGCCAGATTATGCAAACAAGCCAAGGCAGGAAAATTGCATGTTGCTATGTACACATTTTTAAAACCATTTTGACTTACCCTAATATCTTTAGGATGTTCTCCTTCTGCTATCCTTACCATCCATAAAAATTTGTTAATATCATCACCAGAATAGCCAATTACACCTCCAAAAATTATTAATACATAATCCACATCCAGGCTTTTCATGATCTCGTATGCTGCTGTCTCATTTGAGGACATAGCTTTGCCTACCTGGAATAAAAAATATTTTTAAAGTGGAGACTTCCGGTGGCAGGCGATTTCGTCGGTCGCAGCTGTTTGCTGCCTCCCGCCTGTTTTGCGTAAAAGCCGGTTTGACAGCCAGCATCAGCTGTCAAACGGCTTGATACCTTTCCCCTGGGCATAAGGGGATAGGTGAGCTGCCCGGGGTAGGAGTTGAGTTCCCGAGTCGTCCTATATGGACGATGTAGGCG